ATACGCCCTATTTTACATACCATAGTACATTACCCTTAGGGCCTAATGAAAACACCTACAATAGAGTGGTACCCCCCCAATCAATCTAACCTAGGTTAGATGGTTATGCATAAAAGTTTAAAAACATAAATGTCACCCACTGACCCGTCCGTCTGTTTAGATGGGCTGTTTCTTGTCATTCCTTTGTCTCGTCTCCTCCCCTCCAAACCTCTTTTATGAATCATGTTCAATATTGGCGGCCATGGATTCAACAACTGTGATAAAAGACTTTATCATGTAATGTATGTGTTATACTAGCAGTGCAGGTGCAATCTGATGGCGTGCGTGTCATTAGTGTCAAGGTTTCTTGGCTGATTACCCTTTTTTTTAATGAGCATATGGACCCTTTCCTCTTGGCTTCATGCCCTCCCATTTGTCCTCCTTCCTTTCCCCGTGAGAATATCATCATCAATGTAAAGCAACTCGGCTGTCGCTTTCTTCTTCTTCTTTTTTTTTTTCTCGTTCTCCGTGCAACCCTCTTTTACCAAGGATATCCATTCAATAGCTTACGGGGACGGCGGGTGCGGCGGAACAATGTCCTATGAGGAGGATGTTGGAGAGTTTGCATGAAACGCCTCTTGCGAACCGTGGAGTGTGATTGTGGCTCGTGGCAAACGCATTCACAGCAGCAGGCCAACTTTATAAAGACACCAAAGTTTGCGAGAGTCATTGTGAAGAGTCACGATGGGGAGGTCGGTTTTGCATCCCACTACCAACTAACATACATCCCTTGCCACTGCTGTCCATGGGGCTCAAGAATTCGATACCCGCCACAGTTTCTGTTCTTTTTGCGCACAGCCAAGACGAAACAATGTTCAAAAGCCGGGAAACATTAAACCCATCCGACGGGTTCTCGTGGCCAAGCATTGTCGGACAAATGCCGCAGGTAGACGAGCATGGCTCCAACCCACACGCACACACACCTCGTGCCCGTCCATCCTATACCTCCCAAGATGGTCCGCAAGTTGACTCCTCTGGATGACTAGAGCGACGGTGGCTTGCAATTGAAAGCCACAGTTTGGTCGTCCATGGCGTACGGGTCGTTGGCCGACGTCGCCAGGGGAAGTTCAGAGGCACCGGTGGGAGGGATGACGAAGCCATTCTCGCGACTATCTGGCAAGCAATCCTCCGTCCTGGTACAAAGAGGTCAGAAGGAAGGACGATTTGATTGATTGATTCCACCCAGGAGACACTCGAGCGGGCGCGTCATTGTTTCCATTTTTCTTCTTCATTTTCCTGGTGGGCGGGGGCTTGGTTGGCACTCACTTGTATAGAGTACAGTTCATCGGCTCGCCAAACATCCTCGCCGACGATACACCTTGTGGTGACCCTACTCTGAGCGGCGTGTAGGTCAACGAGACTTTTGGCACAAACGCTTGGAATTAGCCTTACTTCCAGGGCAAGAGGCAATGTCGCAAAGACCATGTATGCTTTATTCATGCGTCTGGCCGACTGACTGACTTACTACAAGTACGACCACCGTATCCACGGGGCAGGGTGGGATCGGTTATGTTCATACACGTGATGGTTTCGTTGAGTCCCTCGTAATTTTGATTTGGGCATATCTCAATGAGGTTTCCCCCACTCATGGGCGTTGTCTGTCTCTCAACCAGCTCCAAGGTATTCGAGGAGCCCGAAGAAACGGCCGTTGCCAGGAACAAAATCGTAGCGGCAAGTCTCATGTCGATGGGATGCATGCCGAGATGCATGCTGGCAAGTTGTATAGGCAGACCTTGACAGAATATAACCACCTGTCCAGTTTGACAATGCACTGGAAGATGCTGCCGATTTATACTCCCCCCCCCCCCCCCCCCTCCTTCAACGTCATTCTCAATGTCCCTGATTCTTACGACTCTCGACGCTCACAGCCTGCCTGGTACCATGGTGCCTGTTCCATTTACCAAAACACAAATGTAGTACAGCAGACAAGTGAGAGAGACACTCTCATTCTGCAAGTATTGGCAGAGCTGTAACGTCAGATTGGAATCCAGGGGCAGGGACTCGTATATCTTATACCTTTTACTCAGCCTTCGCAGCGCACGAGCTGAGACGTGTGCATCATGATAGATTTCCTACTGGGCAGTGACAGAACGATTCCATTGTCAGCCATACCTCGCGAACCGAGAAATTGGTTGGAATACAGTCCGACATGCTGTCCTTTCTGTTGCGAGTACAGTCTTAGTCGTGGTCTAATTGCATCAAGTTGATCAAACACAAGGAACGGAACTGCCGCGGGCTTCGCGAGCAACGAATGGGCAAAACAGCCCACAACAGTTGTCCCCGAGAAGGAAGTTGACATATCCGAAAAAAGAAAAAGGGGCGTCCTGATGTATCGAGACGGCCGAGTCCATGAACTCAAGGTACTGTTTCGAGGTCATACGGCCTTTTCTTATATTCTTCTTCTCCATATCCTAGACAAAGTATTCCGAAACTTAATCGTCAAAAATTTCGACAATCTCCCACATAGCTCGAAAAACAAAAAGAGGGATGATAAGAAATAGAGACATCCGAGCATAGATCAGAGAAGGAATCGTCCAAACAAACCCGGTGTCGCGCCAAAATCCGTGCGACACTATGTCCTTACAAGAAGAGAAAACACAATCCCTCACAGCTCCTCTCCAACACGCAGTCCGCTGCCACCGACCCAGCCCTCGCGCTCGTAGTACCGGAAAACTAGCTCGTAATCCTCAAAGTCATGGACAATGCGATCAATGCGGCGGTATCCCTTGATACTCTCTACACGCTTGCCGCGGCTCGTGCCAGTCGAGGTGTCGCCACTCGCTCCCTTGGCTTCAAACAGGGTGATGCTGAAATGTCCCGGCTTGAAGATGCCAACCACCTGCTCAATGACTTCCGAGGTTTCGCGACCATTCTGACCGCCCGGCACATTGGTCTCAAAAGACGCGTAGGAACACTGCGGCTCAGGGGTCACGTGAACGGTAAAGTAGTGGGTAGACTTCTCACTGCCCTCCTCTGGGGGCGCAGGGACAACTCCGTTTGCAGAGAAACCGCACGGATTGAACATGTAGGCGTCGATACGAGCGTCAGGGTACTTGGACGTTGGGTAGACATCTGAGAGACCGCAACAATCCGAGACCACTGTACCAAGCGCGTGACCCTCGGTCGTGAGACTCAATTGATCGATCTCGGACAGAGGTGTGTTTGCGCCAGGTTGGTCCGACTCGCTCGCCACGCTTGTGTCATCGAATGTTTCATCAGAGAGACTTTCAACCGTGCTGGTAGTCTGGATTGTACAGGTGCTACCTGATAAGTCGCCAAGGCTGTCCACAGCATTGCGACGGGCCTCCTCAACCTGCAAAGGCAACTTGGCACACGCGACCGCACTCGCGCGCTCCAGGTAGAACTGCTTTGCATTTTCGGGGTCCAAATCAGTCATGAGAATCTCCAAGGTCTCATCGTTGCTCTCGGCAGCACCGTTAAAGGCCGAGGCAAGCCCGGTAGGTATCTTCCATTGAGCACTTGACGCGGTAGCACCAGTGGGAGTTCGCTCCTCATCAGGGGTGCGCGGCGGCGTCAGGGAAGCCTGAGGAGACGTGATATACAGGTACCAATGGTCCCCATTCATCTTGCCCACCATGTAGGCGCTCCCGTGCTCAAACATGTCGTCCAAGAACTTGATCTCCTGACCCCAGCTTCGGTGAGGAAGTGGCTGCTTTTCGGGGTACAAAAAGTTCTTGCGGCTGTAGAAGACCCGGTACGGAGTCGCAGCAACATGTTCATCCTCGAGAGATTTAACGTTGTGGAAGGGAAAGCCAGCTTCGCGAGCAGCAATGCGAAGAAGGTGCTTCAAACCCCACAGTAGGGTTGTGGTGCCACAGGTCTTCAGAATCAGCTTGTGAGGGAAGACGAACATGCTGGACTCGGAGAGAAGATAGGCATCAATATGCTCCGAGTTGACAACAGAGAGGACCTTGCAGTGGACCTCGTCAAGCATGGGTACCCAGGTCTCAGCGGCTACAGCCTTCAAGCCCTCCGGCTTGGCTCCGGCCGGGAGGGCATCTGCGCTGGGGGCAAACCAAACTTCAAGGAGCTTCTCTGGGCCTGGGGTATATGTTAGCATCGTGGACAAGGGAGCAGGCAACACTCTTTCTTTCTTTTTTTCCGTCTTTATTCCCTCGGTGTTGGGAAAAGTGGTTTCGCTGGCTACATACCTTCAAAGGCATTGCTCGAATCTAGATCAGCGGCGACATCGTGATTGATGGTCAGCTGAGGAATATCCTCGGATGGGGCGATGGACTCGTTGGAGGGGTGTTCGAGGTCGACCATCTCCGTGCTGAAGCTTGCCCAGTAGCGAGGCAGCAGCTCTCTTTCTTCTGTGGTCTCTGAGGATCGTCCGGCGAGGAACTGAACTGCAGCTGTGTGACTGCAGGTGATACAGTGAGCTACCGCGGAGCACTGACTGCCGCTCAAACGAACCTTGCGGTGTTCGTTTGAGGAGTAGGCCCACAGGTCAGGTGGGAGCTTGTAGATGCTGGCGACGCCAGCTGCAATGGGTAGATATAAGGGTTCAACGTCTCACGTATGGGACGTTAGGGAGGTCGGCCACGCGGCAGGAGGATGAGGACCTGTGACGAAGGAATGGTGGCTATTCTCGGGTGCCTTGCTCTGGGCAGATATACCGATACCTGTGGTGGAGTATCGGGGGTCGGGTGAAGGGTAGATGCTGTATCTACAATGGTTGCGCGCGACAACAAGAGCGGTTGTTTAGACTGATTGCTATTTGTAGTGGTATTATCGAGGCCTTTTATGGTAGGAGGAATTAGTTAGATACTCAAAGACAATAGTAGCGTCTTGTGGGTTCGAGGAAGACGAGATAGATATACGTGGATCGAGTCGATCCTATATATATGTGTGTACGTGTGCGTGTTTCTGTGTGGAGGAAGGGGAATCGACGATTAGGTCATTGGGTATGGACAATGTATACACACTTGGCTGGCTTGGAGAAGAGGAAGCGTAGCAAGACTGCTGGGTTCATGGAAAGCCTCTGAAGGGATCCGGGTAGAACACACGAGAAGTTAGCTTCTTCCTGGAGGTTGACACCAGCGAAAGTCGTGATGCTCCCCGCTTGGTCAAGAAATTTTTTTGTCCCTGCTGACTGGGGCTAGTAGTTTATGTTATTGTTGACTGGGCTGGGAGAAGAGAGAAGAAATGTCAAGGTGTAGGTAGCTAGGCAAAATGACTGGCAGGACGAATCAGAAGATCCGACTCATCAGCCAGGCGGGTATTTGCTCTCGATGGGCCCAGAGTAATAAGTAGGTATCCGGAGAATTTTTTTTTAGTTTTTTTTATTTGGGCTCTCTTGTATTATTATTCCTGTGCGAGATTTCTGAGCAGCAGACGAGGGGAGCAGTTGGGAAGTAAACAGCCAAGACAGTAAAACAACAGGTCCGCCTAGTGAGAAAACCAGCAGAGCCCAGGGCAGAGACCGCAGTTCCAGAGCCTTTTCCTTAATGTATTTTCCACAAGTGGATTTGTGAGGTCACTACAAGCCAAAAAGTGGGGTGGGTCGGGTTGCTTTGGGCGCGAACAGAGAAGGAGGGAAGGAGGGGGGAAAAAAAATTGTTCGCCGAGGGGTAAATATCAGGCGCGATTGACAGATACCAAACCATGGACCAGACCCCAGTCCATGTAAGTAGGTACTCTAAATATGTAACTCGTACCTATAGGTACACCCGCTATACTACATGTATTTAGTGTAATGTTTCTGCAGGTTCCCACTCATATCTCTCTCTCTCTACCTATCTACTTATAATGATCACCGTCTTTGCAATGTTACAAATGTAAACTAAGTCCAGTATGTGGCCGTTGGAAGGAGAAAACATGCATCACATATGATGTCGTCAAACCATTCAATGCTGCGTGGGATTTTAAGCAAACAAACATTGTCTCGTATGAGTCAAAAAGAGCTTATTACGTCGTTGCTCGTCAGAAACCCAACGTTAACGCATGCATGCAAAACTCTGCAGCCATCTGCAAGCCGCACATGCAATCCTCCCGTTCCGTGTTGCGTGGTTCTTTTCGGTCTAAACGGCCTACTTAACTGTATATTTTGGCAGCGGTTCGGGTTGGGCCGGCTACACATGTCTCTCCATGGTACATAATTCTAGTAACCTACCTCCTACCTACATACACAAGCAGTATGTATGAGCGCTTATCTGGCGGGGGTCGTGTCAGGAGTCACGGGTAGCACGTTTTACATGAATTGTGTACGACTTCGTATGTCATGTTGTATATTGGTGCAAATCATGGCTGCTACCCCTTGTAGCACGCCATGAGATGATTGATAGTAGCATGTTCACGACTGAATAATATCAACTGGTTCTCTCAAGCAGTAACTTTGCTGGCACCAATCTATCATATTGCTGGACGTGGCCATCCGGTCAAACGTCACCACCTACACATGGCCACCATCTGGTGCAGCATCAGTCCAGACTGCTTGGGCCGTGATTTGGCTCATATCACGCCCACGGTGACACCCGCTTGGCCCCTAGCCGCTAGCTCTCGAATTCGGAGGCAGGATTGTTGACGGACCACCAAGCTAGAGAGACCTTCAATGCTACCTGCCCATGGAAGAAAACGAATTTGCAGAATCGAGCGGCCCGCCTACCCAGTTTTGATGCTCACACGTCCCTTATTGGCCCAGTAAATCATTGCCCCAAAGGAACGATAATCGGCGATGGCTCCGCATCACTTTGAAGTTCCGACGCATCGAGGGATGTGAATATGTAGGACAACTTTGTCGCCGTCTCTCTTCTCGAACCCAACAATACACTGAGCAGGCGCCTATCTTAGGTGTGGCCACGCCGCAGCTGGCCGATATGAGCAGATTTCCAGGTGGTCGGTGATGCGTATAGTTTGCCGTATAATCATGACTTGTCCAAATACCACCCCTTAAACCCACGATACCAGTAGGATCTTCCCCATCAGCCAATCGCCGTGATCATGTCACGGGTGATCTTCCGAAAGATAGGCTCCAATGAGCAGTTGCGATATTTCTCAGCCAGCAAGGAAGCATCCTTTGTAGCAGGTCCGTCGGCATGCTGCCCAGAGCCGTGCGAGAAGTCTTGGCCATTAATCAAAGTGCCCTGCGGATAAGTAGGAGTGGTCCCGGTCTCGATCAGCATGACAAACTGAGGATCAATAGGCACGGCGTCTAGAAACCGAACACTAAACTCCTGCGCCATGACCTGTCCACCTCCTTTGCTGAAAATGTTGGTACATTCGGCGCAGTTGGGGCACACGAATCCGGCCATATTCTCAACGACACCAATGACAGGAATGCCCGTCTTGGAACAGAAATTCAGCTCTTTTCTCACGTCTGCCGTGGCCACAGCTTGGGGCGTAGTCACGACGACCGCACCCGCCACTTGACCGGGCTTTGCATCCTTGAGCAGGGTTTCTGCGAGCGATATGTGTTCATCAGAGGTGCCTGGGGGCGTGTCAATGAGCAGGTAGTCAACGTCGCCCCACAGGACATCGGACAAGAACTGCCGGACCATGGCTGTCTTCTTGGGGCCGCGCCAAACCACAGCATCGCCACGCCCACGGAGGAGAAAGCCCAGGCTCATACATCTCAGTTCTCCCACCCCCGCGTCCGGGTTCGATTCATGGACCGGCACCGGCAGCCAGCCCCCCGGAGCTTGTGTAACCTTTGCGTCCTCGATATTGAACATGCGCGGCATGGAAGGTCCCGTCAGGTCAACGTCAAGGACACCGACCGAGTGACCAGCCAGCGACAGCGATAATGCTAGCTGGGTCGTGACTGATGATTTCCCAACACCACCCTTGCCCGAAAGCACCTGTGCGATCCATTGGTCAGCAATGATCCTACTCTCCCTTCTCAGACACGTTGGCGACGGCGGAAGGAAGCGGAGAACGAGGAGGAGGCTGAGGAGGCGCAACATACCAGAACAATGTGCTTGACCTGTGCCAGAGACATGATGGCGTTATTGTTTTGTTGTCGTTGTGGCTCAGGAGATTGGGTTTGCAAACCGTGTATAGGTTACCAAACTTCACATCCCGCTCAGATGAGATTGTTGGTGCGATTCATTATCTTTGTAAAAGCAGGGCACAGGATGAATGAAGGCGGGTGATGTTACCGGGCGGGCCGTTCATCGGCGACGACGGTCAATTTATCAGCATTTTAGTCACAGCGGATTGGCTAATTCCCTGGGTGTGCCGTACGGATCTCTCCTGTGGTACCTAGGTACGGTAGGTACGCAATATACACTAATATCTATATTCCATTCTTTGACATACCTCCTCGACGCCTTGAACCGCGTACCATAAAGAAGAGAAACAGATATCTTTTGGGGATGATGCTAACAATACATCAAGAGTGAAAGCGCAAAGAGATGCTTTCAATCCTCGAAAACGTGTACTTGATGCTTATCGTTATCATCGGCGCTTTTACATATGTCCCTAGATGTCCCCGGATCTCCCTGTTCGTTGGCCCCACGAACCAATCATGTACAGAATAGGTTAACTCCAGATACCTTATTCCGAATCCAGCAATCGACTCTCCATTCGAGATACGTACCTCTAATTAGAATGGATGCTATTCAAATACAGTAATAGTAGATAATGCTTCGCGACTCGCCTCCAAAGTCATGTAGCTAATATGTCTCCTGCAAGAGAAAATGCATCTATGGTTTGTTGCACTTGCAACAAAGAGAACGCCACTGGGCTTTGCAAGAGGAACTCGGAGGGAAAACTCAACTCACCTGGCGGCGCGAAATAGGTACTGTGGTGGTAGTTTAAGAGACGTGACACCCCTGAAAGTCAGTTTCCTCACCTGCCAATACCTACTTTCAGTCTGCTACCTTTCAACTCCGAAACCCTCCAACGATCCGCAACGTAACCTTCTGCTACACTGCCAAGCGCGTCTGGGCGGCTTTTGAGAAGACCTCAAAGCCGTGCGCCGTACGTGTACATAGGTATTGATCTGAGCCGCACGAGATATACCTTTGCTGCTTCACCTCGCCGAGTGCTATTCTTTCTTCCTCTGCTCGCGATCGACCGACCGACCGACCGACCACTCACCAATGCTTCGGTCTTTTCATTGATAGATCGAAACATCCGCGACCAACATGACCATTGAATTCCGCCCTCATGGACGATCCTTGGGGCTCTCCTTGGGCTTCCGCTCCCTCCGACACGGTCTCCAAGAATGATCACCCACCGTCCCCGTCGTCGCCGCCCAAGTCTCTACTGAGCCTGCCACCAAAGGCCTTCTTCGGCAGCAGTTTAAACCTGCCTGCCCAGTCCCCTTGGGCTGATCACGGCTTTGGGGACTGGGCAAGTCCCGGCCCGGTCGACGACACCGCGCCGAATCTGCAATGGGCTTCCTGGGCGGAACCGAGTCTAGCTCCCCGAGCCGAGTCGCCCGGAAAGCAGAGCCCAATTGCCTGGCCAAGTAGCACAGCGACGTCCCCAGGCCTCAAGCCTATGCGTTCACGCTCTTCGACCTTGTTCCGTCAGTCTTCACCAGATCCGTGGACAAACGACGCGTCCTGGCGCGACCGAGACGAGGTAGCGCCTTTCAAGGCCGTTTCAATCACCTCTACCACAGACGATCAGGAAGCCCCTCTCCCCGTCGACACGCAGGTCGTGATCCATGTGGAAGAGCCACACGCCGGCATTACCGACGAAATCAATTCCCAGGACAAGCTTCATGTGCACGACGCAAGAGAAGGAGGAGCAACACTGAGTTTGGCAGTCGAACCCGAGGGACACGAAAGTCCATCAAGACCCTCGTCGACATTTTCAGCTGAGAGCTCGCATGGTCAGGAGCAGCAAGACTCGCCAATCACTTCGGTCGACGAAGAGCTAAACTTTCGTCCCCGAAACCTGACGAGAAAATCATCATCAAAAGTGTCGGATCTCGTAGGCTTGTATGATGGGCTGGCGCGAGCTGCATCGGATGGAAGTGGAAGCCGTCCTGTGAGTCGCAAAAAAAGTACTGGCTCCACGCATGCGGCGAATTGTATTGAAAATGCGGGCGCTGGCGAAGGAGACAACGTCTTCGATCACGAACCGAGTACCTCGGAAGACTCAAGGACCTCCATTTCCTCAGGCGGGTCCTCCACACCAAGAATCCAGCCGCAGAATAGGCTCAGCCAGCGTAGCCATGCGTCAAGTGATAAAGGGCATGACCCAGCAGCTGACGCACATGCCCTTGCTCTGCGGGAGTTAACAGAGAAATTCGGAGTGATCAAATTCGACGTAGACGTGAAGCTGCTTGATAGAGCTTTCGATTCGAAACTAGATCCTGACTATGAGGAATGCGTTGCTCCTGAAGGCCTCACTGATCGCATCATTACAGACAGCTTTGGGACCGTCGCTGAGAGGAAGGCCTGGTACCGTGTTTCCCGTTTTGGCTCGATGCTAAAGCACGACTCAGGAGACGAAGAAAATTACCATCGTGTGACATGGCAGACATCGCAACTCCATGACGATGCAATCAAAATTGTTCGGCGGTGGATGGAGGAAGATTCGATTTCTGGCAAGCCTATTCTCGGTGGTGGCAAGAGAACGAGCGCCTTCAACTGGGACTCGGCGGCTGCGCCCGTGGCATTGGACAAGGTCTTTGCCCGCAGATCTCTAGGGCCGCGCCCAAAGGGCAGCTCAAGTGTTCCCATGGGACATACTCCGTCAGTATTTCCTCAACGTCTTTATACTCTGCCGTCCAAGTGGTCCACGAAGCAAAGTTGTACTACTGTTTGCGTGTTCTGTGAGGGCTGGTCCGAGTCGCAAAGCTCCAGGGACACACGTCCAACCGAGCTCATCAACGTGGCTTGGGCGGCAATTTTGCTAACAGTCAATCTGTAGTACATCATCCATCGGTTCCCAAATCAGTATCACAGAGGAGCCAAAGTTTCCCTCGGGGCTCGGCGGCTCATATGCCCCAAGTAGCATCGGCACACCGTCTACCTCTGCCTCACCTATCGCAAACTTCGGTTGGAGCACGAGACCCCCATCGACATTCATCATGACGACTCGATCGAGCGTACATTCATTGAAAATTGAGAAACCGGCTCAAAGGTCCGCCAACTCCACCACTCCCGGGCTACTGTCTCCGGCATTTCAGCAGCCCCAAATGATCAATGAACACGGGAGTGAGGTTCCTATGAAAAGTGATGATGATGATGATGATGATACTGCCGAAGATGACGACTGGGGAGAGATGGTTTTCTCCCCCACGCAAGAAGCATTCACGACAACAGAGAACCATATTTTATCTCAAAGCACCGGGGATGAATTCTCCCAAGTATCCATGACAGGAACGACAGACGCTCATCTAGTGTCCGAAGCCCAGTCAGCCCACGCGCAGCCGTCGACATCAGGGTCCGCGGCTTCAGAGGTCAGTGCTTCGATTCTGTATCGCCACGATCCAAGTCGAAACGCGCAATGGGCACCGAAACAAAACACAGAACCGTGCACATCCATCGACCTTGGCCGGTCGGAAACGTCGTCGGCCAGAGTGCAGCCATCTCCCATTGTCCCCAGCTTCAGTCAGTGTGTGGCGGAGCCATTTTCGCCGTCATCTTCGCCTCCATCACCATTATCAAAGGGCACAGACATGGATTCTTCCATGAATGTCCCCCCGCCAAGCTGTTTGAATGCTCCAGTCTCTGCGGCTACTATCTCTCCAAGCCCAGTTGAGAGCTCTGTTGATGCAGCGGACAATGTGGTGATTCAACAAATCCTTCAGGGCCTCCCTGATCTCTACTACATGTTAAGATAAGTTTAGCAGTACTCTTCACATGTAATGCTTTAATTTTATATATGATGCACTAGATTTGGCCATGCTATAACGCATGGCTTACATCAAGGAGGCTTAGCATGGCTGGGTATGCACAACTAGGCATTGGAGTACAGGTATTTTATTTTTATTTTTTTAAATGGGAGAAGGGGAACCCCAACGACCGGATAGAGTAACATGGCTGTACATAGCAAATCACGTATATTACGTCAGGATCATGTTGAATATTTACGCATCTTGAAGCAGTTTACTTTTACAGGGTCATGGAGCTTGGGGCCGTGTGTGCATCGAAATTGTCAAGACTTGTCTAATGTCTAACACACTCTCTGGAATGTCTACCTAGCCACCACAGTAGCCTGGCCCTGGATCTTGACGGCTGCGAATGTCTCATGGGGGGCGAGGGTGGGATACATGCACAGGTGGGCATGCTAGGCAGGCCAGCAGCTTCCTGTGTTGAAAACATGACACTTTGTTGAATCCTCGGTAGTGGCATACTGGTTGGTGGTTAGGTGGGCAGACAAGAGTGGCCATACCGAGATAAATTAGGCCCTGGTAATGTATCATTATTGCATTATGCTCGGAGCATATATTGGGGATAAGAGGCGGCCAATGTGAAAACAGGCAGTCATGTTCCAGATCGACATGCGCACAACATCAGCCACGGCCAAAGCTCGTGGGGAGCAGGACCAAGCTTCAGTCTGCAGTCCCGGCGATGATGCATCTCGAATAACCTATATCTCGACCAAGCAGTTCCACCTGCATGGGCGACGGAGAAAGCTGCCACGGGTGATGCTGGCGGTTCTTTGCATCCTCTTCTGCTCGTCTGCTGGAGGGATTGCGCTCGCCGTTGTCCTCATTCTGGACCCCGTTGAGGTTCGAGGCGCCTGTCTCTCACGCGACTTTATATTGTACGCCGCGCTGCTTTCCCTTCTTTATATTGCACTGCACATTAGAGCAGCGCTGCGGGACCACGTCGGAACACAAAAAGGACCGCCGCAATATATGTACGGGGATTATCTTCACGCAAGTGCACTCATCGTTGCCCGGCTGTCCATTGTCGCCTGGATTTGTGCTCTGGTCGCGACAGCTGCCATGATCGCCAACGCATCACCACTACCACTCGGCGGTCTGGCCAGCAAGTCACCGATTCTGAATCTGTTGATTTGCATTGGCGCACTGTATGTAGAGTCAGCTCTGAACTTAACGTTGGATGACGTGAACATGAGGAACCACTGAACAGCTGATTCGACGAGACAGGCCCTCATTTGCCATCATACTATGCACAATAGAGGAGCATTCGACAACGGCACCTTTTGCAACGGCTGGTTTCTCGACGCCATCTTTGCTAACCTGCCGCGTGAGCGCCTTTGCCGAAGATCTGGCGGCCGGTGGGAGCGTCTCGAGACGTGGATCCGTACAAGAGGCGACGGACAAGGGCGAGGAGTCGTCTTCTTCCACCACAATGTCCAGCGCTGGCATGTTTCGGCCTCTGGAATCCCATGCTGCAGCCATGATCAGCCAGGATAGGTCCGTGGATGGCATGCCGAACCGCAACCCCCCGAGCTCACCCACAAGTCAACTGCCCATTGGAGTTACTCGAGCTGGACCACATCCGTCAACCATTTCTAACCAAACTGCAGACCCCCCTAAGCCTGCATACTTGCCCGGGGGCTGGCGCACCGAATTTGGGACCATGTCGTGATGCCCTTCAGGGCTTGGCATGTCCCCCGGAACAAACCAAAAATGTCGAGACGAGCAGCTGAACTATGGTGGTTATATTCTGGTGTGGAGGATCCTGTGCACTTCAGCTACAGTCAACGATGACCCTGTGTGTGTGTGTTGTGTGTGTGTGTGTGTTGTTTTTTTTTGTGTTTAGGCGATCTTAAGGGTTGTACGGGGGACTCTCGATTCCTGTCTTCTGGGAGACGTCTACCAGGGCCTGGATGCTTGGTCTTTGAGGTTAACCAGCAAACAAAGAGACAGGTACAGGTGCTGGCATCCAATGTATCTACCCGGTGCAGGTCCGGTCCAGAGGGATTTCTCCATCACCAAGCTCCGACTTCGTGGTCACAGCCAGGCAGTGGCGTCGAGAGCCTGAACGAGCACCTCAACACACGCGACATATAGGTATATGTGTATCTTCAGGCGGGATTTTCGAGAAAATCACATAGAACTTCACGCCCCAACACCGGCCCCGATGTTCTCGATCGTTGGGCCTCGGCAGACACCAACTCTCGTGGTATCATCGCCTCGGCGTGTTGTCACAGATGGCAAGGCGGGCTCACAGGGCCATTAGATGTGTTTGCTCTGTCGGCTCTTTATGGATGGCAAACAACACCCACCTCGCTGCAGGCACATGACGGAAGAGACGGAGGCAACTGCTCCAAGACTGCTCAGAGCCACGAGTGATGCAATGCCATCTTTGGGTGGTAGTAACTATTTGTCACAGACGAGGGAATAACTCGTCGTCTCCGAGGCCGTCGTGATCTTCGCCCCCTTCAGCAGGTGGACTCGAGGAAGTTCAAGAAGCGACCCGGCATCGAGTATCGAAAGCAGACTCATTGGCGGGGCCTAGGCAAAGCTCCATGTGGCACGCATCGGACCTGGGTGAACCCTCACCCACCCGCCAAGTCTTCTTCTCTTCAAGGTGAACCGGGAAAGGCTTGAATTAGTCGTCAATGAGGAGTTGCAGACAGATTGGTGACTTTGATCACGGCTACATAGACGGAGGACGCAGTCACGATCGGAAGGACTAATTTACTTGATATGTAAACCGCAAAAGACTGCCACGGGACACGAGACAGATACAATGCTACTATGTACTAACCTAGGTATTTAATGATTAATGCGTTCATTGAATTAATTACCTAGAAACGTCACCCATTGCTTATAGCTGACTGAGAGCGAGTGAAGAACAACATACTCTCTTTTTTTTCTCCTTCTATATACATAGTGCATAGTATTATCCCTCCGAGTCCGTCTCTCACTTTTTTTTCCCTCGAACCCTGACTCAGAGGTGGGGATGGCTCCGAGTTCGCTAGAAAGGAAATTGGTGTGCAGAGTGACGCCAGGACCAGACCAGGGGATAGGGCATCAGTCCAGTGCAGTCAGTATTGGGTTGGACCTTCACATTGCGTCTTGGAAGTCTTTGGGGGGTGGGATCAGATCGTGGGGCTTCAATTGTGTGACGCATTTCCACGGCGGCGGCGGGGTATCTCATGTACCTACATGCACGGATCACAGACTATGTACCCAACCAACCTCACGTGCTGCAGGTGCAAGGGACAGAAGTCCATTGGTCAATTGGACCACCATAACATAATTTTTTTTTTTTTTTAAAAAAAGTAAGCGTAGGGGAGGGGAAAAAAAAAATTAGACAAGAAAAGTCTGGTCAGGCTTTGG